GTGTGTGGTGGTGGGGGGGGGGAAAGGGTGCCGGTCCCTGGCACGGGGAAGAAGGAGGACAGTGGCATATACCCTTTATTGGGCCCTGGGGTCTAAGGCTGAGTCCTGGTGCCGCTGGCCCCTTTCCTTCTCTAGCCTCAGTTTCCTTTTTAGCAGAGACTATCTAGAACACATGGTGTCTGAGGCTTCCTCGTGACTTAGGTCTTCTGTAAACACAGTAGAGCAGGGCTCTGGCCTTGACCCAGGCTCTTGCATTTCAGCACATGCGGGAAGTGGCCCAGCGGCGGCAGCAGCTGGAGGTGGAGCATGAGCAGGCCCGACTCAGCCTGCTGGAAAAGCAGGAGGAGGTCCGGAGGCTGCAGCAGGTGGGGCAGGGTCTGGGGGGGGGGCAGGAGTGGGGGAAGGGTGATAGGCTGCCGGACCCCAGCTTAATCATCACCCAGCCGATGGGCGTCTACTAAGAACCTAGTGGGTAGCAGGCACAGGGAGGACCGTAAGGGGCAAAGACCAGGTCCCTGACCAATCAGCGCATAAACAGATCCACGCATGAGGTGGTCCCAGTCATTGACGAGTCAGTGGGGGAAGGGTAATGTGACACAGAGTGGCTGGGGTGGGGTGAGGGGCCGCTGCTTTAGAGAGGTCAGCCTTGAATACCTCCCGGGCCAGGAGGAGCCAGCTGATGAGCACCCCTCATGGGGTTGGGGAGGGGAATAGAAGTGCCAGGGCCCTGTGGTGGGAAAGAGCTTGGGGGTCCAGACCAGGTCACTGGAATATTGTAGGCTGGACAGAACAGCAGGAGTAGGCAAGAGCCAGATCACCTCAGGCCTTAACGATCTTGGGAAGTTTGGATAGCTTGCTCTCTGAGTGGTGAGAAGCTGTTGAAAGGTCCTGAGCAGGCGCATAGCGAGATCTGATCCCTCATTTTAGAGGATCGCGTTGGCTGTGCTGCGGAGGGTGCCGAGGGAGTGGGCGTGGAAGCGGGCAGTCAGGTGGGAGAAGATGGCTGTCTGGACTAGGGTGCAGAGATGCAGGTGGAAACGAGTGGACGGATTTGAAATTTATTTCGGAGACAGAATCGATCGGACCCACTGCAGGATTCCAGCTGAGGCCCCGCTCTTTCATCCCTTTGCTGATTAAATGGAGGTCGAGACTTTTCATCCCCCAGGAAGGAGGGAGGAGGGCAGCAGATTTGAGAGGTGGGGAATCCTGAGTTCTGCATTCTGTGTTGGCCAAGTTTGGGTTGTGTGCTACACACTCAAGTGGAGGTGTCCATAGACAGCTGGGTTTATGAGCCCAGAGTTGTGGGAAGTTGGTCTTGTAGATCGTTTTGGAGTATTCGATGCGTCTAGTCGCATGACTAGACGGGACCCTTTGGGGGAAGAGTGTAGAGTACGAGGCAGGCTTAGCACTGTACCCTGCGGCACCCTAACATTCAGAAGGGGTAGAAGACAAGCAGGCTGAAGAGGCTGAGAAAGGACAGAGAGAGAGGCAGGGGACCGAAGGAGGAGGTCCTGGGGAGAGAGAAGCGGAATAGGCCCCTCTCCTTGACCCTCTTGCCTTCTGGCCTGAGGTAATCTCCAGGGTGCGAGTCAGGAGGGAGAGACCCTCAGCCCCTTCCCAGCACCCCGCCTTCTCTCCCCTCCTCTCTCTTCCTCTTCTTTCTTCTCCCCCTTGGCCCTTCCTCCCCTCCTCCCTTCCGGCCCTCCCTATCCCACCCCCATTCCTCATCCTTCCCCTCCAGCATGTTGCCTCCTCCCACCTGTAGGCCCAGGCAGAAGCTCAGAGGGAACATGAAGGGGCTGTGCACCTGCTGGAGGTAGGGTCCCTGGAGGTGGCCGCCGGCTTTGCCAGCTTGAGGGGAGGCTGGGGAGGTTCCAAGAGAGCTGGGATGAACTGCCTGGGTGTCAGTGTGGGTGTGGAGGGTATGGGCCTCCAGGAAGGGCCCTTAAATGCTATAGGGCCTGGGGACCTTCCCTCCACCATTGACCGACTTCTCAGGCCAGAGCACAGTTGGGCAGAGGCTCCTGGGTCTGGTGGCAGCTGCCTCCCATCGCCACCCACCTTAGAGGCTGCCTCTGCCCTGAAATGTCCTTCCCCTTAGCAACTGCTTAGTCAGTCCTGGGAGCTGACGGGGTGGCGTCCACCGGGGCCCCTCTCTGCTTCCCTCGCTAAGTGATGACCACAGGGTAAGGATTCTAATGTTTCCTCTGTGCTTTCCTTTCCTGCCACAGTCTACCCTGGATTCCATGCAGGTACAGCCTCCTGACCCCCCACCTCCTTGGGGGGTCCCCTCCCCAACACCTCTCCAGACTGGCTGAGCTGCGTCTCCTCCCTCAGGTCCAAGTGGTCCCGACTCTCATGTCCAATGGCGGGGGTGTGACCGGTAGCAGACCTGAGAATCCATAGATGGGCTAGGCTTCCCGCAGGACATGTGGGCCATCCCCTCATCCCACACCTGCCTCTGTGCCTGGCAGACACAGGGCTTTCCCTCCCCTGAAACCTAGTCACTCAGACCACGAGGATGTTCATCACCAGTCAACCTGTGATCCCCTTCACGGGGACTCTCCTGATACTTGGGGAAAATTCTTGAGAATTGGCTCATTCCCATCACAAAGATGCCCCTACTGACGTGTGGGATCTCTCTGGGCCAGGATTTGGGTCACTGACTGTGGGAGGGTTACAAACTATGGAGCTAAGAAAACTTCTGAGGTGATACTGGTGGTGGTGATGGGGGTGGGGGAGGTGACCCTTTTGGCCTAGAAAGCAGCCAGAAGCAGGAAATGGCCCTGCTGGGGGCATGAGGGTGTGCGGCGTGAGGCAGGCTCCAAGCCTTCTCTGGGACAGAGTTGGGAGTGAAGGTGTCCCACAGCCCCAGGTCTTCACCCTGAGGCAGACACCTTGCAGGGCAGTGGGGCAGCCAGGCTGAGGAGGGGTGTTCAGACCTGGGGGCTGGGTGGATGTGATCTGAAGCCCCACATGGGGCTGTGTGGTGATGACCCAGGCTGGATCGGGCAGCCTGGCTAGGCCTGGTGGCTCATTGTGGGTCTTGGCCCAGGTCCGGGTTCGAGAGCTGGAGGAGCAATGTCGCAGCCAGACTGAGCGCTTCAGCCTCTTGGCACAGGAGCTCCAGGCCTTCCGCCTGCACCCGGGTCCCTTGGATCTGCTCACCTCTGCCCTGGGCTGCAGTACCCTGGGGGACCGCCCGCCACCCCCCTGCTGCTGCTCCACCCCCAGCCCTGCCGAGGGGCCGGCCCAAAGGTAAGGTTGACCCCAGTGACATTAGCCTGGAGTCCCCAGGCCTGGGGCTTTTGTATGGAGCAGAGTTCAGGGTCAGCAAAGACTAGCAACTCACCCAAAGTCACAGAGCAAGTTAGAACCAGGTCTGGCTACAGCCAGGCTCTGATAGAGAGAAAAAAAGAACCTGGAGGAGTGGCTGTCCCAGGGTCTGGCCCAAGCATCTCAGGCTACTGCTCCTCCACCTCCAAGACCTCTGTGGTCATGGCTGGGAGGTGGGCACCTGGGGTCAGTAGCTGGCAGTGTGGGCTGGTGGAGAGCCAGTTGGACATCAGTCAGGTCTGGTGGTCCTGGCTCCACTCAGTCCATGGTGCTGTGAAACCTCTGGGGACCCTGTGTCCTAAGCTTAAGCCAGGAGCATCCAGTGCATCTCATCAGGCTGCTCTGAGTGAGGGTCCTGCAAAATAACATATGTGATCACCTCCACCTCCACTTAGTAAGTTCCCCCAGTATGGAGGGCCAAGCCCCCAGATCCAGGAAGACCTTTGGTCCCTGGTCACTCCTCAGGCCACAGACCCAAGCCCACATGTCATCTTCTCTTTAGATCTTGACCTCCCACCGGGCTCCCCAGGGCGCTGCACTCCGAAGTCTTCCGAGCCTGCCCCTGCCACCCTTGCTGGGGTCCCCCGAAGGACTGCCAAGAAGACAGAATCTCTTTCCAACTCCTCTCGTTCTGAGTCCATCCACAACAGCCCCAAGTCATGCCCCACGCCCGAGGTCAGTGCTGGGGAGGGGCCTGAGGTCTGGCTCCGCCTTGGGGAAGGGGGAATGGGGAGGTGGCCCTGACCTCTTCTAGGGTCCCCAGGAGTTGAGTGGCTGCTGGCCCATGTGGGGTCCCAAGGGGAGCCAGGCCCCGTGGGAGAGGCCAGTGGATTCTTCCTGGTGGGCAGGGAGCTTAGGTGGGGCCCACCCCTGCTCTCCGGGACCTGCCACCAAGCCCTGCCTTGGGGCCGCCCAGCCCCGCCCCTCTGGGACCCAGAGAGGCCCTGGAGTCCTGGGCTGGATGGAGAGAGACACTTTGGCGCCAAGATCTGCATAATGAGGCTGTTCAGGAGAGTGTCTGTAGCAGGAGCAGATGGTTATGTGAAATGGAGCGCAGGTTCCAGGATTCAGATCCCAGCTTTGTTTTAGGCAAGTCGCCGACCCCTTCTGGGTTTCAGTTTCCTTGTCTGGATTGTGAACTAATAAACCTGTCTGGTAAGGTTGTTGTGAGGATTACGTGAAAAAAAAAAATCCAAGGATGGAGCCTCCCTCAGTGCAGGGCACACAAGAGATGCTTAACATATGGAAGCTATTATTATTACCCAGTTCTTTGGTATCACTCACAACTCTTCTGATGTCCTCATCCCTCTCTAACTCCCAAACCCCCAAAAGTGGAGGGGGCAGGTCAGGGGCAGCCCTGCTGTCCAATGTTGTGGAGAGTGGTAGAACCCAGCCCTGGGCCTCTACTGCCCCCTTGTGGGATAGAAAGGTGGTGCTGGCTGTGGATGCCCCCATTCACCATCTTAGGACCCTCCCCACAGGCACTTCTCAGCCCCTCTACCTCTGTGCTTCCAGCCCTTTAAGGTCAGAGTGCTTTGCTGTGCCTTTACCTTAAGGAGATAAACTGTCATTGGACACCCACTGCACACCGTTGTGGCTGGCGCCCCTTTGATGGGGAAAGTGGTCTTATTTACTGGTGCGGCAGAGGCCAGGGCTCAAGGAGGGATCCAGGTTATCCCCCCTCCTTCTACCCAGGGCATCAGGGCTCGGCCAGGACCTGCTGGCTCAGGTGCTGATTTAGAAAACATGAGGGCTCATCACTGCTCGTCTTGTCCAGCATGTGCTTAACTTCTCTTCTCAAAATAATGCCTCCTCTATCTGCTTTGCCATTGGCCCTGCATCATGGAGAGGACTGGTCCTTTCTGTTTGCCCCCAGGTGGACACAGCCAGTGAGGTGGAGGAGCTGGAGGTGGACAGCGTCTCCCTGCTTCCAGCAGCGCCGGAGGGCACCCGGGGAGGAGCCAGGATCCAGGTCTTCCTAGCTCGCTACAGGTAGGCCCCTCCCTGCCGCTCCCCATTCCCGCAGCATTTGGGGTGTATCGGAGGAAGGGGGCGGGTGAAGATAGCAGCACCATCTGGAGATGGTGGGAGTGATTCAGGGATCCCAGTTGGACACGTCCTCTTAACCTAGTTGGGCTGAGGTGGGCACAGTGAGTGATCCACTTGGTTAACAGTGCACAGCCAAGTCTCATAGAGGCCAAGTGCATTGGAGGAGAGGATACAGGACCCGGAGGGAGAATGTCAGTCGCTGTCCTCCTCCTCTGCACCTTTTCCCACAGCTACAACCCCTTCGAGGGCCCCAATGAGAACCCGGAGGCAGAGCTTCCGCTCACTGCTGGCGAGTACATCTATGTCTATGGCAGCATGGACGAGGATGGCTTCTTTGAAGGTAGGAAGGTAGTGGGGATCGTTCTGTCCCTTCCCCTGCTTTTAAGCTCCTCTCCCCAAAGACCCCCACCCATCCGTATCCTCTCAGCCCACTGTAACTTCTCTAACTCAGCTAAAAGGTGTACAGAGACCCAGCAGCCTGCGGGGAAAGGGTACGGGAGGACTCTGGAAGCAGCTGGTCCGACCCCAGGTCTGCCCCACGTAGGGCAGGACAGGGCCACCACAGTCCATATGGTGGACAGAGTGTCACAGGGAATTCAGCTAAATTCTCTTCTGCACTGGCAGACAGGGCGTGGCAGTGCTTAACGCTAGTGACCTAGGTCAGGCGTGGAGCATAGATCTGATGCTGGACTCCAGTCTGTGTGGGAAGAGGAATCAGGGGCCAAACCCAAGCAAAGGATGTTAGCAAGTGGTTAGCAGTTATCAGGGCCCTGGCAGGGCGGAGCTTCAGGGCAGTTCTCCAGTGCCTGTGGGGAGATCGGGCAGTCGAGGCAGATGCCCCATTACTGAAACTGAGCAACAGGGCAGGGCCTGCAGAAGAAAGGGCTCTGGGAGACTCCCCAGGGTGGTCCTGGCCAGGCACCTGGCTGCATCCTTCCACAGCGGGGAGGATGGCACTGCGGGGAGGAGTCCGGGGTGAGATGTGGACAGGGCAGGGCGAGAGCTGTAACCTTGTGTGGGGATTTAGGAAAGTGGTTTGGTCTGGGTCTGTAACACCCAGAGCTTTGAGAGTGTGAGGCCAGGACTTCAGAGCTTGCTCCTCCCTGGGCCCCATGCCTGTTATTTGAGTAGGTGCTAAGAATGATAATAAACAGCTAAACTCTCTATAGGGATGGATAATGGAGAGCAGGATTAAGTAGCTCCCAGGAAAATGACTTTTTTAATGAAAAAAAATCAAAACATCAAAAACGGGGAGATAATTAGGTTTGTGTGTTTGTTTGTTTATTGGAGGCATTGGGGATGGAACCCAGGTCCCTGGGCATGCCAAGCCCTAGGTCTGCCACTGAGCTCTACCCACCACCCCAAACATAAGTATTGACTCCCCGAAAATCACTGGAATTTGAACTATGCCATCTGGAATGACTGAAAGACACGTAGACCACTGGGTGCAAGGTGCTCTATTCCTCATCATACTTTGGCTAAGTGACTGCTTCATCCTCGTCTGGTCCCACCTGGACTGCTCTCTAGGGCACGAGCTTCGGAAGCAAGAGACTGACTCTGGCCCAGGCTCCAGCACTAGCCTTTCAGGGCTGTAGATCTGCTTAGTGTGATGGCTCCGACCTTTAAGGTCGCACTCCTTAGTGTTGGTGGCTGTGTTGATTTCCTAGGGTTGCTGGAACAAATTTCCACCAACTGGAGGGCTTAAAGCAACGGAATGGTGTTCCCTCAGAGCTCCGGAGTCTGAAATCAAGGTGTTGGCAGAGCCAACCCCCTCCCCCCCCGAGGCTCTAGGGGAGATTCGGTTCCTTGTCCCTTTCAGTTTCTGGTGGCTCCAGGTGTTCCTTGCTTGTGGCCACATCACTCCAGTCTCTGCATCCATAGTTTATTGGCTCCTCTTCTTCTCTTGGTGTCCCTCCCTGTGTGTCTCTTATAAGGACACTTGTCATTGGATTTAGGACCCACCCAGATAATCCAGGATGATCTCATCTCAAGCTCCTTAACGTAATTGCCTCTGCAAAGACGCTTTTCCCAAATAAAGTCATAATCACAGGATCCAAGGTTTAGGATGTGGACATATTTGGGGGAGGCCAGCTTTCAGCCCACCGCAGTGCTTATTTTATCCAATTTATTGAAAATCTCTTTTGTTTTCTTCTTCAAGTTTCCTTATTTTTTCTTTTTCCCTCCTAGCATAAGCAGAAAGAGAGGGTATTGGGGAAACTCACCTGCCCTTCTGCAGCTCAGGCCAGCCTACACCCGCCCTCTGCCCTAAGCCCTGGCCCTGCTCCTCCTTCCTCCCAGTAAGGCACACAGCTGCCAGCTTATCTGTCCCCTGGGAATCTTTCTCCTTCTCCCAAATTAGCTGTGATATGACAGGCTGTGTCCCCAATTTCTGCGTTCCTTAACAGCTCACAAACAAACAACAACAAATGTTATATAATACTCTCATGCCGAGTGTTCAGGGGAACTGGCACAGGGCCACAGAACTTACCTCTGGTTGCTGTCTGGACTGACTGCCAGTGATGCTCCTGGATCCAGGCCTGCTGTGGGCCCCTATCCCTTCTAGAGCCCACAGGGGACTCTCTTCTCTAGCACGTCTGTCTTTTGTCCCTAAAGATCCCTTCCCTTATTCTGACCAGAGGGGGCTTCCCTCTCCCTTCGAGGATGTCTGTTTTCCCTACAGAAGATGAAGGGTGCCCCTGCCCTCACTCCTCAGGCCTGTGTAATATGACAGTTTTCAAACGTACAGAAATATTAAAGAATGCTACAGTGAACACCTATGTACTCACCACTGTAGATTCAACGGTTGTCAGCATTTTGCCATAATTGCTTTTTCTATGTGTGGGTTAAAAAAGAAAAACAATTTAAAAGCAAGTCGTAGACAGATGACATTTTACCTCGACACCCTTCAACATGCATCTCCTTAGAACATGAGCGTTCTCCTACATTCCTGCAGCATCAGCATCACCCGGGAGCTTGTCGGAAATGCAGACGCTCAGCCCCACGCAGACTTAGCTGAGTTAGAATCTGCGTTTTAACAAATCTCCGGGTGATTCCTCCGCACAGTAACGTCTAAGCCGCACTGTCCTGTATTACCGCGGTGCTCTGAAAATGAACCCTAACGCCCTAATGCAGACCTTGACCGCTCTTGCCGTTTAAAAGTGCTGACAGGTCACTGTTGATCCGACTCAAATGCTTACGATCGCCCACTAACTGTTGCTCAAGTGCACTCATTGGACTGCGCGGTCTCTCTGCCTCCTCTCTGTCTTCCCCTCCCTCGCCCTCCCTCTGCCAGGAGAGCTCGTGGACGGCCGAAGAGGCCTGGTCCCTTCCAATTTTGTAGAGCGGGTGTCCGACGACGACCTCCTGACGTCCCTCCCTCCGGAGCTGGCCGATTTGTCCCACAGCTCAGGCCCCGAACTCAGCTTCCTGAGCGGAGGGGGGGGTGGCAGCAGCAGTGGGGGCCAGAGCAGCGGGGGACGCAGCCAGCCAAGACCAGAGGAAGAGGCCGCAGGGGACGAGCTCGGTCTGAGCCCCCCGCCCGAGGGCCTGGGGGAGCCCCCAGCTGTGCCTTACCCCCGAGGTCTGGCCATCCTCAAGCAGCTGCCCCACAGCGTGGTGCTGGCCTGGGAGCCGCCTCCTAAGCAGGTGGAGCTGCGGGGTTACCATATCTGTGTGGATGGGGAGCTGCGTCAGGCCCTGGGGCCCGGGGCGCCCCCCACGGCTGTGCTGGAGAACCTGGACCTGCGGGCGGGGCCCCTCCGGGTTTCCGTGCAGGCCCTGACCAGCCGGGGCAGCTCTGACCCTCTACGCTGCTGCGTGGCGTTGGGTGCCCGGGCCGGGCTGGTACCTAGCCAGCTGCGGGTCCATCGACTGACAGCCACGTCTGCTGAGATCACCTGGGTGCCCAGCAATAGCAACTTGGCCCATGCCATCTACCTCAATGGGGAAGAGTGCCCCCCTGCCCGTCCCAGCACCTACTGGGCCACCTTCTGCCACCTGCGGCCTGGTACACTCTATCAGGCCCGAGTGGAGGCTCAGCTCCCACCTCGAGGGCCCCGGGAACCAGACTGGGAGAGGCTGGAGCAGCAGGCTGCCACCCTGCAGTTCACCACACTCCCAGCAGGTATGCGTGCTCGGGCACCTGGTGTCTGTAACATTCGGGAAGAGGGTGTCAGGCCACAGGTGCTGGTGGAAGGGGAGGCTGTTGCTACTTGTGTTTTTAGGGACATGGAAAAGTGGGCTGTTACCTCTGGCGGTGAGTGTCCTGCATTAGCGGGTCTTGTGCCCCCTTCCTGCAGGCCCGCCTGATGCCCCCCTGGATGTGCAGATTGAGCCAGGGCCCTCCCCTGGAATCTTGATCATCAGCTGGCTCCCAGTAACGATTGATGCTGCTGGCACCTCCAACGGCGTCCGGGTCACAGGCTACGCCATTTACGCTGATGGGCAAAAGGTATGGCCTGGGGACTCTGCCCATCTCTACTCTAGGAGCAGGATGTAGGTCTCTCCTTGCCATGCTCAGAGGCCTGGTCTCCCCAGCCTGGCACAGAGATGCCCGGCATTTGGGCACTGTGTAACAGATTGGTTAAGAGCATGCGCTTTGGTAGCAGGTGACTGGGATTCAAAAACTGCTCCACCACTGAAGCCACGTGGCCAGGAGGCTCAGATGAGATGAGGCGCCAAAGGCTCAGTGCAGTGCCCGACATAATGCTGCTGTCATGGTGTCCTCACACTTGGCCATCTCAGCCTCCCTTTCCCATCCTGTGCTCCCTCCACCCTGCAGATCATGGAGGTGGCCTCGCCCACAGCAGGCAGCGTGCTGGTGGAGCTGTCCCAGCTTCAGCTGCTGCAGGTGTGCCGCGAGGTGGCCGTGCGCACCATGTCGCCACACGGCGAGTCGGCCGACTCCATCCCGGCTCCTGTCGCCCCAGCCCTGGCCAAGGCTTGCTTGCCAGCCAGGGTCTCCTGCCTCTCACCACGACCAGGCTCAGAGGCCAGACCACCCCTTGCCCCAGCCTCCCCAGGTCCTGGGGACCCTAGCTCTTCCCTTCGGTGCCCTGACCCCCGTGGAACTCAAGAACCCCCCGGGGCCCCCCCAGCAAGCCCTTCCAGAGAGACACCAAAAAGATCCCAAGCGGAGCGCCCAGCACCTTGCTCCCAGGTACCTCGCTGGGGAGCGGAGGAGCAGGTGGAGGCTGGGAGAAGGGTCTGGGGCTTGGACTCTTCCTCGGTACCTGCCATTCCAGGAGGAGGCCGGGGCAGCTGCACCGAATGCCTCAGGGGACAGGAAGGCCAGTGAGCCATCCTTGGAAGAGCAAGTTCCTGGCCCTGCTGTTTCCTCCCTGGCCAAAGAGGAGGCTGAGCAGACCGCGGGAGAGGCCCTCCCGGCCCCTGGCTCCACCCCGGCCGCGCTGGCCCAGAGGCTGCCCTGTGCCGAGGCCTGCCGTGGAGGGGACACAGGGTCTGCGCTGAGGCCCAGGGCTGAGGTATGGGGCTGGGGACACACTGGGACCCCTCAAGGAATCGGGGTCCTCCTCTCTGCCTCTGCCAGTCAAAGTCTGGTTACCCACTCTGTTCCCTGCTCTGCTCTGGCTTTGTTCTATGCTGTGTATGGCTGTTTCTTTGTCACTTTATCGTTCAGATTTCTTTCCCTCTTGGCTGCCATCCTTCTTCCTCACCCCCAGTGTGCATCTCCTCCATTTGAGGCATGACCTTCTCTCCTGCCAAGGGACCCCGTTCATTCCGGCTGGGGCTGACCCTGCCCGAGTCTGCCCACCCCCTGGGGTTGCCTCACTGCCCTCCCTTCCTCCTTTGTCTTTGCTCTTGCAGCGGGAGGACACAGCAGAGCTCGGGGTCCGTCTGGGGAACTCTCTTGTGGACCATGGCCGCAATTCAGATCTGTCAGATATCCAGGAGGAGGAGGAGGAGGAGGAGGAGCTGGGTGTCAGGACTTGCTCTTTCCAGAAGCAGGTTGCTGGCAACAGCATCAGGGAGAAGGGGGCCAAGGTAACGGGGTGAGGAGGGGCTGGTGGGCCCTAGACCCCTGGTTCCAGGGACCTCTACCCCACGTGTCAGCAGCTGCTCCTGCTGCCACCGAGTGCCAGAGGTGGTCTAGGTGTGTGGCCCGAGCCCCGTCCTGTGCCTCAGATAGGAAGTGGCTCATGCTTTGCCTCTGCCCTCCTGGGAGGAAGGGAAGATGAGGCGCTCTTTTCTGCATCTTCTCCTGCTCAGACCCTCCAGAAGCAGTGCCCTGGCCATCTGAGAGCCTGATGTTGGGAGCTTCCAGGGAGGGGGCGGGAGGCCTCCCTGCTATTACAGGCATAGCCTGCTCCCTGATGCTCTTGCCTCTCGGAGGGTCCCAGCGTCCGTTCAGCCTCTTCCTTGGGAGTGTTCCCTAATTCTTCCTCTCGCTCTGCCCTGGATGTGCTGCGTGGCTTGGGGCCAGGCCTCTCTTTCTGGTCCTTCCTTTTGGAGGAAGCTGAGGGAGGGCTATGGGGTTGCCTACAACCCCTGCCCTCATTTGAGGGCTAAGGTCACAACTCTGTCCTTTTCCTACGGACCTCTCTTCCCTGCTACCCTCCCCCCCCCACCCCTAGCCTGAGCCCGAGCCCTGCTGTGAGACTGACAGCGACGAGGAGATCTTGGAGCAAATCCTGGAGCTCGCCCCTCCAGCAGTTCTGCAGCAAGAGCTCTTAGCATCCCTGAGGAGGAGGAGGGAGGAGGGAGGGAGGAGGAGGAAGAGGAGAA